CTCCGGGTCCCGTCGGCGCTGTGCCTGGAGGGGGTCAGCGTGCTCCAGCCCTGGCCGAGACCATTCGATTTCAGGGCACTGACGCGCAGCGAGCGGAAAGGCGATGAATAATTTAATACGATCAGTTATTCCGGCCGGAGCCGTGAACCGCCCTGCAGGCAAAACGCGGTGCGGGTACCCCGCCCCGCTCCCCGCCCGCGATCGTTCCGAGGGGCAGATGAGGAGGGTTCGGGGGAGCCGCCGCTTTCCCCGAGTCCCAGGCCCCTCGCTGGGAGATGTGTAACAGCCGGTCAGGCACCGCCCCCGCCCTCCCGCCGCTGTGGGATTGCCCCGGGAGGGTGTCGTCCGGTGCTTGGCCTGCTCCGCCTTGCTGCGGTTGCGGTGGCAGGCTGCCTCCTCGCACGGAGGAAACTGAGGTAATGGAGTGTACCTTATAGATACGGCGGGGGGGGGGAGAATCTTCATTCTTTTTCCACCCTCGTTACTTCATTACCGTATAAAATACAGGGTTTCATTAACATACAAAAGAACATATAAACGTATAACACGAAATAACTATTCATGACCTAGAACCATTATTAGACAGACAGTAAACCTACCAGTGCCAAAAAAATGCAGCAAGGTTCATTAAGTATTTTTCTTCTCTATTTTGTAAAAAGGATGATGTACTGCTATTGTGAAAATATCATGAAGTATTTTCCAGTCCACCCACGACTGGAAAAAGTTCAGTATCTAATTTTTTTTTTTCCCCAATATAACCAACTGTCCTTTAAAAAACAAAACAAAACAAAAAACCACCACACCTCTTGTTTCCTGATACAAAAATTTAACAAGTTTTGGAATACCAAAGAAATTCCAGAAACTTCAAGCAGTGTTAATACTATGTAGCATTCAAAAATGTCAAGTGAAATAAGCCACATGGCAACAGATTACCCATCTACAGTCTCTATTACCCATCTACTCTCTGAGTTATCGTCCCATTCCTGAGCAAAATAGTAGAAAAGCTGGTGAAGGAATAAGTTTTATTAATAAATTAAAGGACAGATTGAATGACAATAGGAAAACAATGCATCTAAAACAATCCTGACTACTCAATCTATTCAGTTATTTTTACTTTTTAAAAAAAAAATTTAGAATGACGCCTTTGTAAGTCACGTGACTATATCATGGCAATAAAATACAGACTGATGCACTGGTAAACAACGCAGCTGTCAGGGGAATAACAACTTGTTAAACCAAAGCACAGCTTCAGAAATAGATGTCAGTCAGGAGTTGTGAACAAATGATAATGCTTTTAGTGAGAACCTACAGAATCAGTTCACCGTTGTGGCTGTTGAGTATTTTAGTGATCTGCAAGCTGAATCACCCTACCCTCCTGTATTAAGCTGGCTCTAGCATTCATTGGGACCTGCCTGTGAACTACTCTAATTAATAACCTGGCATAAAATTAATGTCCTTTAAAAAAAAAAAAAAGCCTTAAAAAACCAAATCAGAGCAATGGATGGCTTTCTGCTGGCTTACCGAGATGTCCTGGCTCAGCAAGGTTTCTGATGAACACCCGGAAAGAGGGGGGGAAGAAGTGAAACCTCATGTTTTCTGAAGCGGGCAACTGTTAGATCAGCTCATCCACCTGACTTGACTTCACCCTGAAGATTGAGGACTCATAAAATACAGGAGGTAGATTGTGGTACCTCAGCGAAAGGTTTTGGAATCGGAGCAGACAAGCACCACAATCACAGGAATTAGAAAGGTGCAACTGCCCTGACACCACAACTTATCATGGCACAAAAGGTCAAGTTAGGAAACCTTTTGTCACTCCCAACACGACACCGTTGCAAAAAGTGAATATAATAGAGAATGTATAAATGGGGAAACAGGGGGCTAGAGGTAAAAGGATTTTTTTTTTCCTGGGTAGCCATTGCTACAACAAATTGAGGTATTCTAAATGTAATTCTCTAAAATGTCATTGCTAGAACATGATGAAAAACTAGAAGAGAACCTCTTCGCCCTCACCTGTTCACATTAAGAATTTATTTGTGTTCCTCTTTTGCTTAAGTTTTAGAAAAGAATCTCAGGATTTTGCCTTCTGTGTTTTCACCTAGCCTCCTCGACGCCAGCTAAGTTTGCCAGCACTAGGTACTCGGATTGGCACAAAGACAACATGCGGTTCTGCTACAATTCCAAGTCCTTCAATTGGGTATGAAGTCTGTGACTGACTGCAAAACAGTTTTTAAGCCTGCTTATCACACTGGTAACACTGTCAGTTCTATAAACATTATTTCAAATTCACTGATGTAAACAGACTTCATCATTACCATTAAAAATTAGATTATTACATCAGAGCATAATCTAATGAGAACATGGCATTTTCTGTTATTTCTCCATATTGCTGATCTTTTTTTAATCTACTAGCACAAACCCAAGTTACCAGATACAGAATTTAATTTCTAATGAAAACAGAACAAAGAAATCAGGCATAGATGTTCAAACACTGGTGCAATTTGTAACAGTAAAACAACAGAAGAGGCAGATTTTCCATTTCTTGATAGCTTCAAGTCAAGACAGGATGATTAAAGCTGATCCCTGGAGAAAGCTGAGCAGCTGCATTTTTCTTAACACAGACAACTGGGCAAAATTAATGGCCAACATTGTTTTGCAAACCATACTCTACACAGCTCTGAAAGGTTATTTCGCTAACAAACCCCCCTTTTCAGTTCAAAATTAATTTCAGCAGGGTTACTTTGCACAAACATCAGTGAGCTCCTCAGACATCCGACTGCATTGATCATCACTAGGTTTCTGTACCACAGAACTTTCAAGGGCCAGTGTTTTTCAAAGGCTTAGCTTAGAGAACAGAAACATCCCGCCAGTTATAGTCCTGACAGGGCACCTGCAGATGGAATCACCTGCCTGTTCCCCCACAACTGGCCTTAACCAAGGCTCCTGGGGCTACACCTCAAAACGGTTAACAGAGGTCAGGACAGAGCCTCTGCTTCGGTGAGGAAAATCACCTTAAAAAAACCCAACACCAAAAAAAGCCTCAATCAGAGCCGCCTGGCGTAATACCGACGACCTTATCGCACGCGGACCGAGACGGGCCAGCCCCCGACGACAGCGCTGCGGCCGCCACCCCACCTCCCTCAGCCGGAGGCCGCTCTTTCTTGAAGAACCGCCGCGCGACCCGCACCGCCCAGCGAGCCGCCTCCACGCGCCCACCCGCCAATGGGGAGGCGGCTGTGGGGGGGGAGGGGGCCC